AGAACCAATTTCAAGCTCACACGGAAAACTTTAATGCATTTTCATCAGCTGTAATGGGGAGGATAGATGGGATAGTTGAAACTACAGCAGGTCAACACCGGGCTCTTACCACCAGCTTCAACACACTCAATCTAGCGGTAGTGGAGTACACGGAAAGGGATGATGCGCAAATTCCTCCACTTCCGGAATGTCCCTTTCGAGGACGAGACCATCACTTTAGGGGGAGGAGACCCTGAGGATGTCTTGAATATTTCATTTTGCATCTTATTTTATCATGTGTTCATTAACATCTATTGTAGAATGTTTCATGTACTTACTTGCTTTTAAAGATATGCTTATTGTGGATTATAAAATAGTGATTATTATTGTTCTCTTAACTGTTGCTCTATTTATCCATTTATATGCCTTCATTAACTGCATTATATGTGAATGTGTAACCTGTTGCAAATGGCTGAAACTTGCTTATCTCTCTTATTATATGCAATACATTGACATCTATCTTCTTTCTTTTTGATGTTGTCAAAGGAGGAGAAGAATATCAAGCAAAAACATCACTTGTAAGACTTATTAATCATACAAATTGTGTACAGACAAAGGCATCGAGTAAGGGGGAGGATGATACAATGCATCATACACCAATTTTCTACCGTTTTGCCATCACCAAAAAGGGGGAATATGTGAGCGAAATCCTCATAGGTAGCTACACTTGTTTTAATGATGTCAAAACTTAGGTTGGTGGAAAAATGTACTTTGGACGGTATCATTTTTCATATTTTAGGTCTTTGAGTTGACTCAAACTTGTTCCGGTCGACTCATACATAAAGCATTTTGAATGGTCTACTCTCAGGAGTGCTCGCGTCGACCCTCCGGTTGACTCATAATGTGTCAATTTCTATTTGGCTAATTCTGCATGCTTTACATCGACGCATGACCTGCTCTGGTCGACACAAAGTTCTGTTTTTTGCGTAATCTGAAATTCGGGTAAGCTCAGGTCGACCCTCCCTTCTGCATAGGTCACCACTCGCGCGTTTTCAGTTAAAAATCTGTTATGTGAAACTGTCTTTGTGGTTGTTATGTTGGTTAATTGTTTTTAACTTGCATATATAGTGATTTTTTCTCTTTCTTCAAAAAAACACAACAAGAAAAGTGAAATAGATACTGATTGTTCTCATCATCTTCATCCTCTTCCTAGCATTTTCTCAACAACTACACATAATCATTTTTGTTGTGCATTATGCTTGTTAGAGGTGATAACGTCCAAACATAGGATTGGTGTAATCAGGTTTAGGTTGAGAAATCAGTAGGTTTTTCTTGAATAAAACTGTTAGGGTTTTGTCCTCCAAGAATCTTGGATTTTGGGGGGATTTTGCACGAATCGGTCCATCACAGATTCAGCCGAGTGAAGGTAATCGAAAAACGGATCGTTCTGTCAGTTTAGTAGCAGTAACCCGAGGATTATGAGAGGAAGAATCAGGTTCAAAGCGTTGGTGATTGAAATCAGTCGGGCAAGATTTGAAGACCGTGGGCTTGTTTAAAGGGTGTGCCGTAATCAGAAGTTTATTCATAGCATTCGAAGGACTTGATTCAACTTGAATCAAGGGAAGAGAAAGAATAGGCTCTGCATCAAGAATTGTGTTTGATCGTTTGATTTTCTATTGCTTCTCTTGTAAACATTTACCAACGGGTTATATCTATATACAGGTCTCAATTCTATTTTTAGAATTGAGGGCAGACGTACCTCGAGTGAGGACGACGGGGGAACTGCCTCAACAAATTGGTGTTCTCTCTTTACTTTTCAATTGCTTAATTTCTGAGTTTGTGTGCAAATAATTGTGTTAATCAAACTTCTGATGTGAGTAGTGTCGAACCATTTTTGAAGCCTATTACAATCCTTGATTGTAATTGAACACTTAAACACTTCACTCTCATATTGGAATTCACTTGTGGTGCCTTGCACACCAAGTGTTTAACCAATTATGTGAACAAGAAACGCTTGTGTTGTCTTTACAAGTTGATTACATTTTTCAAACATTGAAAATATTCAAACCTTATAGTGAATAAATTTTGGTTGATGTGTGTTCAAATTAGTGATTCTTAAATCTCGTTTTTATCGGATTCCATAGCTTTGCGCATATCCAATTTTTCCAGTAAATGTTCATTTTAGACGAATATAGTTCCTTGGCTGCTTCCGCATAAAAGCATTTTAAAACCAAATATTGGTAGCGCCAACTCTGTTTTTAACAAGTGATCTATTCAACCCCCCTTCTAGATCTGCGCCATCGTCTAACAACTTCTTCTGATGATCTAGAGTTCTGCTCTTGGGAAGAAGTTTGTGTTGATAATCCAAAATCAACTAGAAAAGATTTTGATTTGTTTCAGTCAAAGAGGATTTGATTGAATGTACCTTCAAGGAAGAATTGGTCCAAGAACTACTCTACAAAGAAGACTTATTTGAATAAGAGTCATTTTGGATGCTTTGGTGTAACATGTGGAACACGATGTTTCAACATGTGTCCTACAACATGTGTGGATTATCAATTCCAAGCACAACCATACAAGAAATCTTCAACTCTTCACAAAACATTAAACCAAAACTAACTTTCTCACGCAGATCTCACACCCAAGGTGGAGGAGCTAATCCAAACGATAATGGTACAAGCTAGAGGTTGAAGATGAAGTGAACTATCAAATGCAGTGTGTGTTTGGATTAACGGTGAACATGATTGATTACGATAGAGTTGAGTTTGGCAGAATTGATTGAGTTTAAAAAAATTGATTTATGGTTGGATACATTTATGTAAAAGTGAGTTGAACAACAAATTTCAGTGTAAAAATCACGTTTAAATTCAGAATGTACAAATTCTAGCTTCAAGTTGAATCCATTTTGGAGGAAAAATCAATTCTAATTTAGAAGAACCAAACACCTCAAATTACTCCATAATCAATTCTAGATCTCTAGAATCGTTTTTGCCTCATCCAAAAGTCAAACCATACATGCTAGCAATCTCAAAACAATAACTCAAAATGATTTTTGAAACTTTGCGAGAAAAGTGTGTTGTGTATTCATACAATGAAATTTTTTATGTATGTTATGAGAGAGAAAGATCGATGAGAAAAGGTTTAAAAATGTGCTGAAGATAATGCACAAAATAAGAGAAAAACTTTTGATTTGATTTTAGTCAAGATCACATTATATAATTTGAAGTGAGTGAGTGATTTGAATAAAAAACTAAAAACCCCAAAAAAATGTATCTTTGATTCAAGTCATCCTATTATTTGATTTAAATCAATACTTCCATTATCCGAGTCAACCTTTTAAACGATTTGAATTAGAAATACATATGAATATTTTGTTTTTGTGACTCAATCTTTGATTCAAGTCAAGCTATTTTATGTTTTGAATTAGAAATACATAATCTAGTTTTGTTTTTCAAATTCAATTTTTTATTTGAGTCATCTAGTTCTCTGATTCAAACAACACGTTCAGGTTTTAAGAAAAATGAAATGCTTATTTGAATCAAGACTTGGTATGGTTTGAATCATGCTTTCATGTGGCTCTTAATTCAAACTTCCAACTAATTGACTAGAACAAACTACTTCGACTTTAATCAAATAGTTCAATTTGTGCATGCATAAAAACGGTTTAACACTTAACTTTAGAATGTGCAATTACGTGAGGAGACTTAATTACGATAAAAAAAACCAAAAAATTAAATTGACAAGTCAAAAAACATAAATTAAGAAAAACTTTAGGAGACAGAGCAACTTCAATCTTCATGATTAGATGCCATCATTAGAGATTGATGGACATTTGTCACCAAAAACTTTACCGAACATAATTTGACCTAAGGTGTTGTCATTATTGAGAGACTTGACCTTTACAATTTGTGAACTCCATAAATCTCTCTATGCCTGAAACAAGCTCCAAGTTCTTGGTTTCAAAAGCTTCACTCGTTCCTCACACAATCATGCTTTCAATCCACAAAAAGTGAAATCTCCCAATTTACCAAAATCACCTCTACCACTACCTTATATAGTCTTGTCTATGTTGATGATGGTATTATCACAACAACTCATCTTCAACCATAAACAATCTTATCCATTGCCTTCATAAACATTCTCCCTTAAAAGACTTAGGTGATCTTCATTACTTTTTTTTGCATTCAAGTTCAAAACTCTCTCCAAACTCTCTTTCTCTAACTCAAATCAAATATATCAATGGCCTTCTTCACAATTATAGGAGTTCTTTGGTATGTCACCACAACCAAACATGACATGGCCTTGCTAACAACATGGTATGCCAATTCATGCACTCACCAAAAGAGCCTCAATAAACACATCCTTAGATACCTTAAAGCTACATCAACCTATGGATTAACCCTCAATATATCAAACAACCTCAATATCCTAACTCTTTGTGAAGCTCACTGAGGGTCAAATCATGAAAATATGTGATCCACCACATGGCATTGTGTTTGCTTGGACAACAATCTTATCTCTTGGTCATTTAAAAAGCAACTTGTTGCATCTAGATCAAGTACTAAAGCCGAATATCAAAGTTTTACAGTTGTCTCATATGAAATCCTATGGATTCATTCTCTTCTATATGAACTAAAACTCAAAACTTCTCAACCACCTATTATCCACTATGACATCATAAATGTTGTCTTGCTTCCAATCCTATTCTATACTCTCGCACCAAACATTTTAAGCTGAACCTCTAATAAAATATTCAAGCCAAATATCTCGAAGTCATGCACATACCATCCCTCAATTTAAGGAGAATCAATTTTTAAAAAAATTGGTAATATATTCAATTGAGAGAAAAAAAAATTAGAAGATGGAGTTGAACAAAATCTCCACTAGTGAGCTATATATATACTTTTCAGTGAACATTAACAAGTATAACAATTTGGTTTTCAATTCATGGTGACAAATGGCGTGTTTATACGCTTATATTGCAACTACATATTTGATCTTCTACCAACTACCTTGCAACACTAGGGGGAACGTTTTCTAAAGAAAATTCTTGGAAAAATGCTCCAACCTCTCTTAGTTTTACCAAGTTTCTTAAGCTCATTTCTGATACTTGAACACTCCTTCTCTAGCTCTGAGACACGATCCCTCAAGTTTTCACCATGTGTAGTATCCACCTGACCATTTCCATTACTCCCTTTCAATCCAAGGTTTCCATTTTCTGAAGTCTCGAGGTTGTCTGAAACAAACAACCAGCTAGAAATTGATGTTCGCAGTCGAAGCTGTTCGAAAAAGAGGACCTGCACTATTACTCTCAGTGGTACTCTTTCATTTTGTGCCGCGTGTGTGCTTGCTTCTAATGAAAGCTTTTGACAGTTCATAAGTCTGCAAAATTGTTCCCTTTCCGAATCTATCAGCCATGGATGTGCCTGCACATGTCACGATTTTTCTCTCATTAGAATTGTCATAATTAATAACACGAGTACAATTTTTCTTAAGTCTTAGCCATGATCGGTAAAATGTAATATATCTGATCAAGATTATACAGAAATAGTAGACAAACAGGTAACAAAGTGCCCGGCTATCCCTTTAAATTTAAAAAGTGTCTGATGTTGTCAGATATATTTTAAATTTGAAGTGTCAGATAACTTTGAAATAAATGTGTCTATTGTAAGATATATTTTAAATTTGAAGTGTCTGATAACTTTGAAATGAACAACTCGACCCAAGCATTACCTTAAGATATACATCAATTGCATGATATAAACCATCATCTAAAGGCCTAGCATAATCAGGAACTGATGAAGCAAGAGCTTGAAACTTAGGCAACTTCAAATTAACATCCAAAGCTACTTCAGCAAGATAAGAATCCAACAAATTAGCCACAATTGTCATAGGTCTCAATGCATCTACGCCACCAATCAATGGTCCCTCTTCATTTACACATAATGGAGTAGTTGATGCTGTTGCAGGCTGATACATTGACATAAAATGATCAATAATCCTTTGAATACAATCTATATCATAAAGTGTCTCAACTGAATACCCCATATTCGGTATCAAAATATCCACAAGTTCGACTTGATCTAGCTGATAACCAATCCTTTTCTCCAAATTTTCTATGCATGATGAACTCGCACGTAATATCATAGCTGTTCTTAACAACCTAAGGAGATATTTCGAAGGTGCGACAAATTTTTTATTCGGAATCAACCCTACGATTTCTTCCAATAATTCCCTTTGATTCGCTTCTGAACTTCTACTTGGTGTTGTCCCTTGACTAACACTAGTTTTGTCATTGAAACTCGATTGTCTATTCATCAAAGGTATAAATCTTCTAAGATAATATATTAACGACGCAACAATATTCTCCGGTTTCATACCTTTTAATTCAACTGAAATAATAAGTCTTTTATATAAAGGTAAACTTAACATACACAAATCTTCGTACCACCATTCATCAATTGAAGCTTGAGATTTAGTTTCGGAGCATAAAATATCCTCGGAACATGCCTTGATGGTCAAGGAATCAATGCATCTTGAAATAATATGAAGTTCTTCTGCATATGGTTTAACTTCTTCACATGTTTGAAGTGCTTTTATAGAATCTGACCAACTGCCAAAAACTTCGTTGAGAAAAGTTTCGGTTACTTCTACTAAGTTTCCTTCGCCGTAATTTTCATTCATTTGTAAATACTCTGACGCACATCTTAGACCAACAACATTTATCGATGTGATTTCGAGTTTTACACCGTAGCAAAATTTTGTTATGATCTCAAATGTTTTGTCTCCACCGGGTACATCATGAAGTTGCAAAACGGAAATTGTTCCATCCTCGTGTGATGAGTCGGCGATTAGTTTCTTTAGTAATCCACTTCTAGAAAGCAAGGGGAACTGCATCATCAAAAGTCACATAATCAGAAACAGATTCATTCCATGCCGAGAAGCAAGGTACGTTCAATAACCGTCCCTCATATATATAAAGCATTCCACTAGAAACCTGAGGTATTTTCTAAACCACGGATTACTTAGTGTAACAAACCCTAACCCTAGCCCTAACCCTAAAGCAGATAGTATGTGTTTGGAACAATCTTTCTCAACTAAAGTTCAAATTAGAAAACGTACCTTATGAAGAAAGAAAGACGTTTCGCCTACTTCAATGGTAACATCACTAATAAGTCCAGTTGTACAATGCCTGCATCAAGATATCTCATATGTCAAAAAATTATCATATACTTTATCCGGCATTCTATCTAATTGACTCAGAATTAAGAGAATCGCACTCGAAGATTATGATAGCGAAATCATAGCCACAAAAACAAAAAGCCATAAAATATAATTTAGGTCATACATATTTCTTTGATTTGAATTGATGATAGTGTGATTAGCAAGAATAGAAAAAAAAATGGTTACCATGTTTGGCCGTCGCGACGAAAAATATCATGAGATTTGGATCCAAGCTTGAGCAATGCCATTGATTGCAGCTTGGTTAACGTAGATTCAAATGTGATAGAGAGATGAGAGCAGAGTGGAATCTTTCATTGTGATTGTGATGAATGATTATTGTCCACAGCACAGATCGCGATTCTGAAGCTCACATAACTGAAATAACCGAAATAAAAGCTTCCGTAATTTTTATGTTATTAAAAAATTTACAAAATTAGGCGTTACTTGGCCCATTACTTCCTACACCTGTTTTTCTTCTTTTTACTCCACTTGCACAAATTTATATATCATAGTCTCTTTTAGTTTTATCATATTACTATAGCAAAGTTTATCAAAGTTATTATGCTGAGAGCAAATAATTCAAATCAAATTAACAATTAGCATCAAAGGAACTGATGATGTGAAAGTATGCCTAGTCCCGCGCTTTAGCATTTGTTTTTAATAGTAGTGTGTTAAATACATAAGAGAACTTTTTGAGGTAGTAAAGCATTCACGCACACATACTAAAAAGTTTTTAAAAATTTTCATCTATTTCAAAATTCTTCTAAAACCCAATTATGGCATTTACCTAATCAAATAAGAAGTGACTCAGACCAATTAGAAAATTAAGTTACACTTGTTGGTCAATCAACTGTACCACAATTCACTGAATAACACAACCAAAAAATCAATCATTTTGTGAAAACTTTTCAAAAGTCAATCATTTTGTAAAATCTTTTTAAAAAGTCTTAATATCTCTTTTAGTCTCTTAACTTTAATCTTTGTTTCGCTTTAATCCTTTAAGAAAAAAACGATGTATTATGGTTCATTAACTTATACATCGTTACATATATTAGTCATTTCTATTAGTTTTGGTTAGAAAAACGTTAGAATATAAATTGTCGGACTTAAAATAGCTTAGGTGGATATTATGTATTTTTTTTAATGGAAGAGGTGGAATTTATGTTACATTTAACATCCATTTTAAGAAGATGAAACATATTAGGGCACACTTACATTGTTAGATGAAAGTTTAGGTTCAGAGAGTAGGATAGCAGCTACGTTGTTTACAACGACACTTGTTTGAAGACGACGATAACGACATTTACGACAACAACCCTCCATTGAACAAGAACGAAGAAGAAGAACTCCGTTCTTTCATTCGTCTGCAGAAAAAACTCCAAGGTACGAACTTGCACAAATACATAACTAAAAATGTTAACTTTCTTTTATACCTAATTTACTTAGTACTTATGTAGGTTGATTAAATCGTAGAGAGTAGGTTTAAGTGTGTTGTTCATCGTTCTAGTGAGTTTTCTAGGGAGTTTGCAAATTTTACCATGTCAGGTTATGTAGGGTTAGAGGAGATATGGAATGTTGATCTTGATTATTGGAGTTACTTTGAAATATTGGACAAGTTAAGAGAGTTAGGTTACCTTATTATAGATAGGCTTTGGTATTATGATGACATGATTGCTAATGATATTGTTCAGTTAGAAAATGATAAGGGGACTGATAGGATGAGAACAATTGCAGTGTTAACTGGGGAATGCCATTTGTGTGTTACACATCCTGTATCTGAACCTGATGTTATTGAGGGGCTCATACTCTCACTATCAGATGTGAGCATATTGGGTGAAGATATGTGTGGTGAATGGTCTAATATGGTCAATAATCTAGATGAGACCACAGTGACTGAAGATGTGGTTGGTGAAGTATATGAAAGGGGAAGTAATGAATGTGGGTCCACACTGGATGAAGATGTGGTGGAAGAGGGGACAATAATTGATGAAGTTGAGGAGAATGTTGGAATTGAAGAGAATGTTGGGTTTGAAGAAAATGTTGGTTATGTGGGGACCAACTGTGAAACTGAGGAGAATGTGGGTCAAGAGGAGATAAATTAACAATATGGATGATGTGGGGACCACCTGTGAAATTAAGGAGAATATGGGTGTAGGGAGGAATGTTCGAGTAGATGAAATCAATGAAGGATTGAACTGTAATCAAGAACAAGATGTGGTAGTTATTTGTAAACAATGAGATGTGCCAGAAGATGGAAGTGATGACTGTAACACCCAATTTAATTATTTAGTCTTTGGTGATATTTTATTCTGGTGTGTCCTTGTGTGGGAGTGTGTCTGAGCGCGTTGGTGGGTATCCTTAATTTATAGGAACTATCTAATAAAATGTAGACTCTAATATTAAGATAATATAATTAATAATGATGATAATTTAATTATTATTATTATTATTATTATTTGTATTATTATGAGATTAAATAAATAAAATGAGGATTAAGAGATATAAGAAGGGGTTTTGGGGTAAAGAGGAGATAGAACACGATAAACTTGTGGAGAGAGAGCAGATTGAGGAGGAAGAACAAGGGGAAGAGAAGCAAGGCTAGGGCTACCCATTCTTCATAGTTCTTCAACAATCGGAGCAATCAATCGAGGTAAGGGGGAGAAACTGGTTGGGATTGGTATTTTACATGAATTGGGTAGAGGGGATTCCTTAACCCCATAGGGATTTGATGAAAATGATTGGTATGTTGTTGATTGTTGCTGCCATTGATGAATTTGTGCATGAGTTGTTATGAAATTGGTGAAATCCTGTGTGATGTTCTGTGGTATTAGTGACAAACATGAGTGTTGGTTCTGGAGAGAAAATTTAAGGAACAATTTGAAGTAATAATCGGTCGAATTGATGTTTTATCGGGTAAAATTTGGATTAAGTCATGTAGTTTAGTCGGGGAAATGCTGGGCTAAGACTACAGGAACTGGTTTGGTGAAAATCGGGTGATTTGTGAGCTTCTGATGATTCTGGGACAGTTGGGGTTTTGGTGGATCGCAGAATTCGCTAGGCAAGCATCTAGCGGGTGAACCAGCAAGTGTTTGCTAAGTCTTCGCTAAGGCTTCGCTAGGCGAGTTGCGTAGCGAACCCTTCTAGTAGCCACTGTCTGCCTTCGCTAGCGAGTTCGCTAGGCGAGTGAGGCAGCGAGCGTTCGCTAGGCGAGTGAGCCAGCGAGTGTGACATAACTTGTTTTATTTTTGTGGTTCCATCCGATGTTGATGTTTTGTAGGATCCCTTTGGTCATGATGGGTGTAGAGACGATGTTTAATGGTGAAGAATGTATACTTGGTGTTGGAATGTGAATTTCCTAATATTTAATGTAATTAATATAATTGATTTGTGTGTGTGTGTGTATGTATATATATATATATATATATATATATATATATATATATATATATATATATATATATATATATATATATATATATATATATATATATATATATATATGATGCATGGTGATGTGATCAGTAGGATCGTGTGCACTTAGTGTGCTTGAGTTTATTGTTGTGCATATCATGGTGTTTTGGTGGGATGGATCGTTGCTCAGGAGGAGTGTATGCGATCCATCCGTACTCCTTTGTGGAGGATGGTGGGATGAATCGTTGCTCAGGAGGAGTGTATGCGATTCACCCGTACTCCTTTATGGAGAATGGTGGGATGGATCGTTGCTCAGGAGGAGTGTATGCGGTCCATCCGTACTCCTTTGTGGAGAATGGTGGGATGAATCGTTGCTCATGAGGAGTGTATATGATTGATCCGTACTCTCTCGTGGAGAATGGTGAGGATAAATCATTGCCAAGGAGGGGTGTATGTGATCTATCCTGGGTTCGATTGAATGAACCAATGAGTCGGTACTACATGTATGGTGTTGAGTTGCATATTTGCATTATTATATGTTGTGTTTGATGTTGAACAGTATGTCGAGGTTGGTGCGTGATGGGTGATATTTTATGTAATTTCTACATTTATTTCATGTATCTTATTATCGATAATTTTGATCATGTTTTCTCACCCCTTTGTTGTTGTGGTGGTCTGTGCTTCCTCGGAAGTGCAGACAATCCAGGTACATAGCGAGCTTGGATTGTGGTGTGCAGGTCGAGTCTTAGGATGCTCTGATACGTAACACGGGACTTGGGTGTTTACTTTTATTATGTTGGATTTGTTTTATTCCTATGACGTATCATATTTTGGCGAACCTTGTTAATGAATGACTTTATGTAATTTGGCGGATGGCCGAGACTGTTGAATTAATGATTACTTCCACTGTTTTATTTTGAAAACCATCTATTGATGTTGAATCATTTAAGGTGATATCCCACTTTTGAGGGGAAACTCTGGTATTTACTTGAATTAATTGTATTTTATTTTAATTTTGGGAAGTGGGGTGTTACAATGACAATGCTTTGAATGTTAATTTTGAAGACTCAGAGAATGACATAGGTATTGATAGAGAGATAGCAGTTGATGAGGATGAAGTGAATACAACAAGTAAGGAGAAGGGAAAAGGTAAAGGGAAAGGTAAGGGGAAAGGGAAAGGGAAGGGGAAAGGGAAGGAAAAAGGTTATTGTTATGGATGTAGGCGCCGATAATGATGGTGTGGTAAATCTGGACAATTTGAGAGGTTTAAGTGACATTGAGGAGTATGACAGTGATAAATTGCCTACTGAGTATGACAATGAGCATGATGAGGTTGTAAAGGATGCTTTTGTAACCTTTAAGCTTCCAAAAAGAATGGAAGACTACAATGGAAACTTGGTACATATTTTTATACAAAGGGGGTGTTTTAAGAGGCAATAAGAACATTGCCATTCATTCAGAAAGGAACTTGAAATTTACAAAAAATGATAAAGCATGGGTAAGGGTAAAATGTAAGGCAGGTTGCCCATGGGAGGCTTATTGTGCAAATATTAAAGGTGTGGAGACTTGGAAATTGATCACAATTATGGACAAACATATATGTAGTAGGGATTATAAGATTAGGTTCCTCAATTCAAAATGGTTGGGCAAGAAGATTCAAACAAGTATTAGAGAGAATTCAAATTTGAATTGACTGATATTATGGAGAAGACACATGAAAAGTGGAATGTTGGGATTAACAAGACATTAGAATATAGAGCAAAGATACTAGCTGTTGATATTGTAGATGGTTCTTTTAGAGAGAAATATAGAAGAATCCATGATTATGGCCATGAAC